TCGCACAAAAACACTCTCGAATACAGAGGCGCGGTTAGATTCGTGATCAACGCATGCAGTAAAAACCCGCGCATTTCCATTTAGACCTCCTTATCATAAGAACCTGTTTTAGCCTAAAAGTGGAAACAGGTTATTATTTGATAAAATTCATAAATTTAACTAAAACAAAAAAAGAAATAAAATAACCTAGGGTTTGTATTTGTCTAGATTTCAGTCATTTAGACATAATTATATGCATATTTTATATAAACAATGAACCGCACCAATATTCTACCAGCAACAAGCACCTTTTGTTCTTAATAAAATAAGAACCTATTTAAGAGCCTAAATAGCCTAATTTCCCGGTAAACACCAATTATATAAGAACGTTTTTAGGCTAACTTGAAAAAATGCAGGTTCTTATACGCGCGGGTTTTTACTGTATTCGCATGGTGAACATTATAGTTATATTGGCATTTTAAAAATGTTATGAAGAAAGTTACATAGAAAATTAAAAATTAGAACTATTAATTAACTAATGTTACTAAATATTACGTGCGCGCGTGTGTGTGAGTAGGTGAGTGATTGAGCGTGCGTGAGTAGATGCATGTGCGTGTGCGTGCGTGTGCATGCGCGACGAATAATTATCATGGGATTTAATTCTCTACTGAAAGAAGCTTGTGGAATCTTTGTGAATTAAATTCATTAATACCGTTCGATCTATCACTTATAATTGCTTAATTTCAATCAGTCAGTTTATTTTTACTTCGGACAGAGACTTAATTATATATACACACCCCTTTACCCCCGACATCTATACACGTATAGCCGTTGTTTGTAATTTACGTCGCGTTACGGATATCTAGGTTATGCGTGTCCTGAACCAACACGGAAATTTATGCAGTATTCTACCTCCTACTGTTGTACGTACGGCTGACGCAATATTGCTGCTAGCGGCATCATAGACGTTTGCGCGCGCGCACAGCGGAAAGATCAAAGTGCGTGACGAGGGGCCACGCAACATGGATAGTGTATTTCAGCAATGGAAGGTGACCTATTTATACAGCTGTAGTGCTATGTGATAACGCAGTCGCGCTTATGGGCTGTGACGCACCTCCACGAGCCAACCAATCACGCGTCGCTACCCCTGGTTGCTAGTTTCTATGTTCGGACGACCTTCAACCGAACGCTGATGTTTTCCCAAGGCCGCTTCCATGCTTTAGCTGCTGGAGCCCTGCCATACTGCCATACTGTTGCGCTGCCATACTGCAACTAGGGCTGATAGGGTCTATGTCTCCTTGTGTACTGCCGGAACGTACCCTGGGTACGGTCCGGTATACCGGAACGTACCCTGGTACTATCTAATATGCCGGACTGTACTTCGCCTACTCCACTATCGGCTCTAGGGAGTCGCCTACGCCTACTCCCTAACCCTAACCCTAACCATATCAGATAGTTACCAGGGTACGTTCCGGCAGTACCCAGGGAGACATAGACCCTATCAGCCCTAGTTGCAGTCGCTACGATGCTGCCTCGGTCCCCTTTTGCGTCGTGAATGCCTTACTACGCCTATATACTGCTGCCGATTTTTGATAGACTAGCTCCTGATATTTGCAGTACACAACAACACATTCACTAAGAGAAAATCCATCTCAATTGCGCGAAACCTTAATTGCGCTCAAGGATAGATAGTTACAGAGCACGTATATCATATGATATGATATTATACGCATAGGGCAGATATACGTGCTCTGATAGTTATAGTTTCATAAACGCCTTCTCTTGCTGACATAGAAATGATCTATCCCTAGCAGGCCCGTAGCCAGGGGGGGTTCGGGGT